CTGGCGCCGAAAAACAAATAACGACGGCGCCAGGCTAAGACCTTTTTATTTAAAACTTATTTTAATTGTTAATTTATTATGTAGGTTTTTTTTAAATTTTAAGCCAAGATGCACCGGGTTTTAATATTTTTATTGTATAATTTTTATATGCTTTTGTTTTGTTGTGAGCCGCCCCGAGGCTTTGTTGCGATGGGGGCAGCATAGAAATGTTTTAAATAAATAAACTTCCAAACGCCTAGTAATGGGGTTTTCTTACTATTTAGATGATCTGCCTAAAATTTAACACTTTAAAGGTTTACCTGCTAAAACAATTATAAAGGATATTAATAGAGAATATCTATTAATATATTATTAATTTTATTAATATAAAGGATGTTACCACAGAAAGAAGTTCAAAAGGCCTTAAAGCAAAACCCAGTTTAACCAGCCAGTTTTTCTTCCATGATGTTCATATGGCTATTGCTCAACATACTTTGGTAGCTTCTCAACTTCATTAAGCTATATCTAGTGCTGCCCTTGAAGACAATTCAGAAACTTCACCTGGAACAGACTGCAGTAGTGTACTGGCTAGAACAGAACATATTAACACCTGTTGTTTTTCTGATCTGCATTGCCTGAAAATTTGTTTCTAAGACTAATTTATGCTAATGCTGTTTTATGCTATGTTTTGTATGCACTTCTGAAATCTGTAACTGTTTAGATAGATAATTATTCATCTAAATATAGGTAAAATTTATTTGATCTCTCAGGTTGATGAATATGCCAGCTCCTTAAAGGAACTTTATGACTACTTTAAACTTTATTTTTTCTTTTGAAAAAGTTGCCAAATATCTGTCGAAGGCAAATACACTATAAGGGTCCTCATAATTTTCCTTCTTGTGCACTTATTGTACTGTGTGATTGCTTTTTATTCCATTATGCTAATTTAGAAAAAAAGTTTTTTAAAAAAACTCTGCCTACAAGCATGTGTCTTGATTCTTAGTTTCCTTTTATTTCTCCAGTTCCATTCTTGCCTTTAGGAAAAGTGCACACACACACAAAATAGTATTTAGAAACTTCTAAAAATCCAACTCATGCCTAAATGCCTGATAAGTTTTGACTAACTTCCTAAAAACTTTGCTGTGGTACCTCCCTTGTAAGGTGGTTCTATACAGCTGGCACCACTATAAAGGAGGTTCCTCATGTGGCAACTAGTTTTGCTTCCAATGGTAAGAAGAAAGGTTTCTCTAGATAATCAGTGAAGAGAGATTTATATGGAAAGCTCATATATTCTTTTAAGTAGTCTGGGCCCTGACCATTTAAGGCTTTCTATGCAAGAACCTCCTTCAATTAACAAAAGGCAACCACAATTCTATTGTCGCAAAGGCAAAGTCCAATGTAAATCCAGGTCAAGTCAAGAAGTTACCCGAGGGTGTGGAATGGGCTTCCACAAGAGGTCGTTGAGGCCCCAT